GTGGGAGGGGTGGCATTTGAACCCGGGGCTGCCTTTCTGTCTCTGGGGCCAACGTCTGTCCCTGCCCGGTGCACACCTCCTGTGTGTGGTTCCTGCCTCCCCCTGCTTCTTCCTCTGGAACCTCTCCCCCCGCCCAGTAACCCCTTCCAATTATGGTAACTGAGACTCAGAGCCCCACACAGCTCCAAGTACTTCTCAATGTTAACGAGCTCCTCTGGCTTGAAATCTCCTTTCCAGAACTTCTTGTGTCCCATGGCCCTTGCCGACCACGTTATCTGCACCATTTCTTCCCAAAACCCAGTGAGGTGAGGTTGGGGGTCTCCATTTCACAGATGAAGAAACTGAGCCCCATATGGGTGAAGAGGCTTGCCCGAGGTTACACCTCAGGGAGTAGATGAGAACAGCGGACACCGGAGCTCAAACTCAGAGAGCAGGAGGGGCGGGCATGCCCCTTTTAGCCTTTCGCTTTATCAATGATCCCCACCTGGTTCCTGACATCGTCTGCTCACACCTGAACTTGCAGAGCCTCCTAGCTGGCCCCGGCTCCTTTCCTCCCCTGGGTCTCCTTTCAGTGCAGGGAGCCTGAAGAAACCTAGGTCAGCTCACATCACTCCCTGCTCCAGTTCCTTCCAGGGCTCCCCATTTCCCTGCAAGGCCTGACTTCCTCTCCACCTCCATCACCCCCTTCCACCACACCTCTTCCTTGTTGCTCCATCCTGCCTCAGGGCCTTTGCACTTGCTGTGCCCTCTGTCTGGAATGCCTATTCCCTCAGATATCCTCATGGAGTGTTCCCTCACCCCCTTCAGGTCTTTGCTGGAATGTCACCTTCTCAGAGAGACGTGGCTGACCACTCTAACACTGCAGCTCCTCCCATCTTTCTGTTACTCGTGGTCTCTCCCTGTTCCCTAATTAATTTTTCTCCAGAGCGTCTACCACCTTCTAACATACTGTCTTACCTGATCACTTTATTTTATGTGTCCCCCATTAGAATGTAAGCCTCATGAGGACAAAAACTTCTGTGCGTTCAGCCCTGCACTCTCTCTGCCGCTCTTTAGAATAGGGTCTAGCACACGGCAAGTGCTGGAGTGATACCTGCTTTTGGTGCATTTGTACGTATTATGCTCCATTGTTTTGTTCAGCACACGTTGACCCCACAGTCTATGCTGAGTGAGGCTGGGAACCAGAGAATGCACCCCTTTGTCCTGGGCTGATGGGGATGAAAGAATAGAGGGGAAGGGAGACAATCATATGGTGTGGTGTGATGGCAGAGAGCCCAGGTGGGCGTGGGTTCGGGTTCTGACTTAATACCTAATGTGGGTGCGCTTCTGTCTTCTGAGGACACTGGGTGTGTGTGTGCATACACGTATATATGTCTCATCCTCACAACATCCTATGAAATGGGTTCCATTATCCCCCTTTTACACATGAGGAGGGGGAGACACCCACATGTTAAGGAATCTATGATCACACGGCTCATATATGGTGGGGATGGTTGAACCCAGGCCATACAACTTAGACCCTGCATCCTTTGGTGCTACCCTACGCGGCCACCTCGTGACTCTGCCCCTTTCTAGCTGTGTGACCCTAGGCAAATCACTTAACTTCTCTGTGCCCCAGTCCCCCAACTGTAAAATGGGATCAAAACATTGGGAGGATTAAATGAGGTTACGGAGAGCTCTCAGCAGCGTCCCTGGCAAAGGGAGATGATAGGTTGAGTGTTCGCAACGGCAGAGATGGTGGCCTTTCTTTCCCTGTGTGCTGTGATGGGGACTCAAAGGGCACTGCGGAAGCCCAGAGGAGGCCGCTAAGAGGTCACGGCAGGCTTCCTGGAGGAGGAGGGGCAGCCTGAGCGGAACCTGATGGGCGAGTTTGGCAGCCCGCAGCCCGAGGTGGCCTGGGGGATGAGGGAGGAGTGTTGCAGGCCACGGAAGTGCCTGAGCGGTGGGGGGGAGGGCCGGCTGGCCAGCGTGCACGTGCCCTCCGGGGAGCTGCAGGGAGAGGTGGGAGGGTCTTGTGTTCTTCTGTCTCTAACTGCTGTCACTCTGGGCTCCTGTCACATCCAAGCCACAAGTACTTTCTGAGCTTGGCCCTGCCTGGGTGGGGTCTGCAGAGAGGCAGACCCCTTACCCTCCGAGAGGCAGGTGGAACTGGGACTGGTGCCCACTGGCGCAGAAGACAGAGGCTCAGAGTAGGGAGGCCACTAGCCCAAGGTTACAGTGGCCCTGGACCCGTGACACAAATGCAGATCTGATTGAGGACAGGCCCTTTCTTCATGTCCAAATGGAGAAAACTGTCCTCATATAGGCATTCCATGGGAGTCAGGGGCCAGGACTCCCCGGTCTGAGGGAGGAGGAGATGGGGTCTGGCCTCCTGGGTCTGAGGGAGGAGGGGGCTGGGGGTCTGGAGTCCTGGGTCTGAGGGAGGAGGGGCTGGGGGTCTGGAGTCCTGGGTCTGAGGGAGGAGGGGGCTGGGGGCCTGGACCCCTGGGTCTGAGGGAGGAGGGGGCTGGGGGTCTGGACTCCTGGGTCTGAGGGAGGAGGGGGCTGGGGGTCTGGACTCCTGGGTCTGAGGGAGGAGGGGGCTGGGGGTCTGGAGTCCTGGGTCTGAGGGAGGAAGGGGCTGGGGATCTGGAGTCCTGGGTCTGAGGGAGGAGGGGCTGGGGGCCTGGACTCCTGGGTTTGAGGGAGGAAGGGCTGGGGGCCTGGACCCTGGTTTTGAGGGAGGAGGGGGCTGGGGCCTGGACTCCTGGGTCTGAGGGAGGAGGGGGCTGGGGCCTGGACTCCTGGGTCTGAGGGAGGAGGGGGCTGGGGCCTGGACTCCTGGGTCTAAGGGAGGAGGGGCTGGGGGCCTGGACTCCTGGGTCTGAGGGAAGAGGGACTGGGGGCCTGGACCCCTGGTTTTGAGGGAGGAGGGGGCTGGGGCCTGGACTCCTGGGTCTGAGGGAGGAGGGCAGGCTCAGGGAGAGGTACCCCAGTCCCTGCCTCCAGGTGCTCTGAGGTCTGAAGCAGCAGGTGAGTAGGTGACACCGAAACCAGAGCCTCCGCCCTAGTTCTGGGCCCAGGGCCTCCTTCCTCCTTCCCTGGCCGCAAAGAAGGCCCTCCCTCTCTTCAAACCAGAGCAAGTGGCTCCCAAATACCAGTGGAGGCTCCCACCCCAGCACAGTCTGACTCAGTGAGTCTGGGGTGGAGGCAGCAAACCCTGGTCTTAGAGACTCATGGAGGGAGCCAGCCACCCGAGAACCCTTTCCAATCCCTTGTCTGCCCACACAGTCAGTGCCTTTCATCAAGTGAGCTCTAGGACTCCGTGGGTCTGAGTCTGCTTCTGTCCCAAAACTGGGATAGCTTTGTCACTGGGGACTGTTTATTCTCTGGGGTGGGGGGCACAGAGACAGCACACAGCATTCCCCATTGGGGCTCGATCCGCTAAGATCCCCCATGTGTCATCTCTAAAAGCACCCCATCTCTTTCCCCCTCCTCCTCCCAACACACATGCCGATCCCCACTCCCCAACTGTAGGGCTTGCTGATGGGTTCCTAGGAGGGGACATGGGGGATGGGTAGTCACAGGAAATAGGAGGTATGGCAGGTTTTTGGCAGATACAAATAAGGTGGAGCTGGGTCTCAGGAAGATGTATTTATTTACATATGTGTTAATTAGTCATTCAATGAATGGTTCCTGAGACCCAACCTGTGCCCCACTCTTTGCCCTCAAGAAGAGAGTCTAATTGGGGAAATCTACTTGGATATCCAGTTAAGTGGAGACTGGACAGGGTTCTGAAGGATGAATAGGAGTTTCTTAAGGACAATGCAGCAAGGGATGACGCTAAGCATGGAGAGTGGCATATACAAGGTCCCAAAGTCACGTAGGAGCAAATACTTACGCACCTACTTTGTGCCAAGCATGTTCTGAGTGCTGGATGGACAAAAGCCCTGCCCCCGTGTTATTGTCATCCTTGTGGGTGTGGTGGGAGACAGAAGGTAAACAGGCAGGCACATACGTGAGAAAGACTTTCGGATTGTGGTAGGTGCCACGGAGGACATAAAACACAGGTGAAAAGGAGTGACTGAGGGCAGGCAGGTGTGGTCACTTCGGGGGAGGGCATTCAGGGCTGGCCTCTGTGAGGAGGTGACATCTGAGTTTTGACCTGGATTTCGAGAATGAGTCAGGAATGCAGAGAGGGTTCGGGGCAGAGGGAATACCTTGGGGAGGCTGGCAGGTGAGGTCTGTCGGGGCGTGTCTGGCTAGTGCACGTGAGACCCAGAGACCTCGCTACCAGTACGGTCACGGTGACAATTATGAATTAGCACCAACAAGGGGGTGGCCAAACTCCGGCGCGGAGGGGGTCGTCCCAAGCGACACAAACTCGGGGTTGCCCTAAATGGGCCCGGGTGGAGTCTGCTCAGGCAGTGCCGAAGCCCAGAGGAAGGGTGAGGTGTTTCCCTGCAGATCCTGGAATGGACCCGCCCTGCAGTAGGCACCCC